GTTTGGTAAATTGAAATTCATTTTCCTCTTTCTGATGTTTCTTATGATTTGAAAAATAAGTTTAATAAAGTCAACTTCACACAAATATATATATTTTTTCCAGTTCACACTAGGATGTTACCCTGAAAATGAATTTGTATTCAGGTGTACTTAATTTTTTGTTTATTTATCTTTAAGAAAGCATTTTGCATATTTTTTGTGCATGTCAAAATAGTAATTGTCATTATCATAATATAAATGATCTGATTAGAAATTATGTGGTAAACAAATTGAAAGCAAGAAATATATATTTTATTACAGATATTTAATGTGATTCATTATTTATTTTTTATTTCACAATTCTGATATGATTTCATACCAGAATATTTGTTTACAGCTTTAATGCCCATAAAAATAAATAATCAGATATAAATATCTAAAGCACAAGTAATTTACCCTGCAGTGATGCATTTACTTCTCTATTCACAGATGGACTCCTGGCCAAGCCACTTAACTCCTGTCAAACGAAATACTTCAAACAACAGCCAACAAACTGCAAATGGATCGAGGCCTTTGAATAGATCAGCTGTGACAAGTTTAACATTTGAAACTTTATGAAGGTTGTTTTAGTACTGCCCAGTCTAAGAAAGATCTTTAGCATTCAATTTGTTTTAAAGAAGGAAAACTTGAATGATGTTGTATAAACATGTTAGCTATAGATTATAAAAAATCAGTCAATCATTCAGTAAGAAATAATGCCAGTGGGGGTGCTTAGCTGCATCCACCCTTTGCATCCACCAGGTCTCAGCCCATATGTAGCTCCCCACAGTAGATCTGATCAATTTTACCAAGCCATGACTTCCTAGCTTGTTCCACATGTCTCCTTTACCTGGGGTTATGTGAGGAACAGGTCTTGTGCTGTGCTCACTGTACAATTGTTGGTCTGACATGTGATCCTGCCAACTGTACCCCATGATCCCTTGCAAAGACCTGTTACAAAAGGCATCAAGTTGGTAACTTGGTCCTTCTGCACAAGGTCTGGTATCCCCAAATACTCAATTGATTGAGTTCATGATAGCTGCTGCCAGACCATTCAGTCTACTGACTTTCTGGTCTGACAGCTTAGTCATGAACTACATTACCAAGGTATATAAAAGTCTATGTGACCTCAATATCCTCAATGAAAACATGTTCCGACTGAGCAGGTTCTTCTAGCAGGCCATCAATTCTTGGATGTTGTCTTGGTCCAGGAGACCAAGATCAAAGGACTCCACTGCATTCCTAAATGCATCTAGAGCCACCAGTAGTGTTTCCAGAGACTCCAGCATAGTAACATTGTCAGTGATCTTGATAGTGCCCAGTGTGATACATACACAAGGATAGTGCCTAGTAGCCAGTCCATGCAAGTGTTGAAAAGTGTAGGTGGAAGATCACAGCCCTGCTTCACTCCTGAATTCGCAGGGAAGAACTTAGATAGGCCTGTTTGCAGCATTTTCCATATCAGTATACTGGCTTGAAATTAATTAAATAATTGTTGGTAATTCAATGGTCTTCCTTTTTTCCCACACATAAGTACTGTAAATGTATGTTTTACATGTGCTATGACGTCAGATTTTTATCTTAAACAATTATAATTTTATAGATTTGTGAGATACACATGTACGCATTTAAATGGAAGGAGGCTTGTGTAAAATACTAGATGCAATTTTAAATATTCTCCCAACTTTTCCCTGGAGGAATTTTGGATACTCTCTATATGTCATGTTGCTCATAATAATATAATAATAAAACATAATAATCCTTGGAATTCCCCTTTCTCAAGGTCTCCCAGAACTGCATGCAGCCCATGACCAAACTCACAATAGTGCTTGTAGCACTAGGATAAAGTCTATTTGGGACTTACCAGGAGTGAATCCTTTTGTGCCCCTGGAGGTGACTACCAAGCAAGAAACTTACCTGGTATGCTGAGTTGTAATGCCTCGGTAATTGTCAACTCATATTACTCAGCTGAACGCTCTCCTACCCCAACATGATATGAGATGATCCAGCCATGTATTGAGTGGACTATTGTTGTCTGTGAGGAGGGCTTGGAATTCAGATTTCCCAGGGCTTGGTAGGTAGGTCTAAGGTCATTTACTAAGAAATGGCTTTCAACCTGTCCAACAAGATTTGTTATGTACTGTTTACTTGGCCTGAGTCGTAAGCACAGAGAATAATACAAGTTCCTATCTCCAGTCAGTCACCAATGGAATCCTAAGTTGCATCAAGTGTTTTATGCTTGATGGTATTCCACAGCACTGTAGGCTCCATCAGGTTGCCTAGTGCTGTGAATAATCCCTCCCTCACAGCCTGTTTATGTCAAACACCACAGGGCAGTCACTGGACTGGTGGGAAGGTTTGATGTGGACTTGGAGGGTAGTCACAACGAATCTGGTTGGTACCATATAATTGAGCACTCGGGTAAATTCTTCAGTTCTCGAGGATGATCTTCCAGTGAGTGATAATAAGGTTGTGGTTGATATCCTTGGCCACACTGCCTGCCTTTTTTTAACTATGTCTAGTGAAGCAGTTCAAGGTGCTGGTATCAGAAACCAGAAAGCCTCAATCTCTGGGACCTAGTCAAATACCAGAGAAGGAGGCTATCCTTATGACTGGCAACAACTGAACCATGAGGACTGATAGACATCATATAACTAGCTCGATTGCAGCCAGATGCTGCTCTGAAGTCACTCAAAGCAATGCGTATATCTTTTTGTGTTCAACTGTCTGCTACTGATGTGAGTTTGGCATAGAATAACACTTTCACATTGAGTAAACAAATATCCGTTGGAGCATACACAGCAATAAAAATATGAAGCCAAACCCTAGCTTCACTCAATACCATTATACACTCATTCACTAAAGTAACCTCTGCTACTGAGGGCTAAAGTCTGCTGGATAAGGCTATGGTTACTCCCTGGAGATGGGGACCATTGCTATGGCCCGATCAATAGTAGATCAACCCACCCACACTGGTCTTGCTGCTATCAGGTCTTATCATGTTTGAGAGAGCAGCCACCTCTACCCTTGATCTTCCTGCCACAAAGAGCAGACGTTCCTAGCCCCACCAGCCAACATTGCCCATACAAGGAGTAAGGCAAACTGCAGGGCTCAAAATTTGCCTGTGGGTTCTTGTGAGCATGAGAGATGAGTTACTCCTGCTCCCAGCCTGAGTCCTGATGGTTGCCCACCCAACAAGAGCTGCAGCCTGCCTCTCTTTTGGATTGGGGGATGTTTACCCCATCCCAAGCAATGTCATTTATATTCTGCATTGCCAGTAGTTTCTCCTGGCAAGACCCTCCACCCCACAGCCACCCATCAACCCCGAGGGGCAAGGGGTATGAAGCCAGGCTGTAGCCACATGCCAGTGGGCCATGACTGCCTCTTTATTGCTATCCACTGCCCTGAGCTCAGCCTAGGACTGCAAGATATCCATTTTCCATGGATTGCCACGAGGATGCACTGCAAAGGTTTTGATGGTGGAAAGTTTGTGAAACTGGCGGGGGAGGCATCTGTAAAGCTGCTATTTAATTCAGTCTATCCAGTGGCAGCTGCACTCTGAGAAGGCATGCATAAACACTTTAATACAATGTAGGCTACCACACCATTGCAACCACCCATAAAATCAATGAAATGATGACTTACTTGTCTTTCTGATGCTCAAGGATACCTTAAATATATTTTTATGAGTGTCAAAACCCTCAGCTGTGTTGAGAAGGTAAGTACATTAGCACAAATGAGAGAAAGTATTTGGCAGTCAAAACTTCAAGTGCCTGAAATCTGTTCTCAGAGAGAACGAAAATGGTATGACATAAACATGTGTGCTATGAATTTTGAATTTTATATCATATTCCTCTCCGGTTTCCTCATGTCCTCAACTTCAATTGCCTTCCTTTTCTTCCCATATATAAATACTGTAAATTTATGTTTTATATGTGCTATGTTGACCTCAGACTTTTATCACAAAAAAATATAATTTGATATGCATGTAAGCATATAAATGGAAGGTAGCTTGTATAAAGCACTAGATGCAATTTTCATTATTCACCCATTTTTTCCCTAGAGGAAGTTTGGATGCTCTCCGTATGTCATGTGGCTCATTATCATTAATGTCTTACATTATGGTCTACAGTCCATATGCTGCTCTAACCATACCTTATGTACTCATATCATATTTGGGCTACTACAGTAAATGAGTTTGACATACCTGGTGAAGAGTGTATGTGTGTGTGTGTGTGTGTGTGTGTGTGTGTGTGTGTGTGTGTGTGTGTGTGTGTGTGTGTGTGTGTGTGTGTGTGTGTGTGTGTGTGTGTGTGTGTGTGTGTGTGTCTTCTTATTTATGAGTCATTTGGCAATGATGTTAAAAGACTATGTGATCTTTTTTATTGAAGCATAATCACTGCCATTTTTTGTGAATGAAGAGTCAGCATGAAAGTTGCCATTCAAGTCTATGATTGGCTTCCATGTTATAATATATATGATATAAATAAAATCTGTTATTTTAAAAATAATGGTAACTGTTTTACTTTTCACATTCATTATAGAAGTAGATCAAAAATATGATGCTAACTATTGAAAAAAGCATACCCTAATGTAGAGTATTGTACATATGAATCTTTTATCCTTAAGACTGCATAATTGTCATTTACATTTATTTATGAAGGTGATGAATATAATAAATTCAAATTGATCCTGCTGAAAATATAAGAACTGCATATTTGAATACCAATGCAGCAAAATAATGTGGATATAAGACAACCCAAAACTCCACAAATTATTTTTCTAAAAAGATCACTGAATTCTACTCCATTTATATGAAATGAAAAAGCTTTGTATTACAATAAAGTCACCACCTCCCTCTGTGTTCTACGAATAGCTGGGGTCATGATCACCAAAGGGACTCAAACTCCCTAGTGCTAAATCAGTACTTGGGTGCCTAAGCCCACTGAGCTACTAAAACATGGCTATTAGTATCAGAATTT